GCCCATATTTTCTTTCCCATTGTTTAAAACAAAACATGTACATCCAAAAACCCCGAAATAGTTTATGTTGGGTTTTCTTCCTTTGTACAGCTTCATATGGGGTTTTCTTAAACATGGGTCTAATCAAGACTCTATTCAAAACATGACAAGCAAGTTGTTTATCGCATCTCGCCCAAAAGTATTTAGGTAAAGAATTTTCACACAATATTGTTCTAGCAAGTTCCACAATGGATCTGTTCTTTCTTTCCACAACACCGTTCGTTGAGGAGTTCTTGGAGCAGAAAAATTGTGTTTTATGCCAAACTTTTCACAAAAAGATTCAAATTTTTCATTTACAAATTCTCCACCATTGTCACTTTGAATAGATGTAATGAAATACCCTTTTTCATTATGTAAAACCTTGGAAAGCTTTTTGAAAGATTTGTAAGAATCAGATTTGGCTTTAAGAAAAACAATCCGGTAAATCTGAAAAGTCATCAACAATTACCATGATATAAAGATTACCACCTAGGCTTTTATTCCTTGAAGGACCAACCAAATCCATGTGAAGCAGTTCCAAAGGTTTGGAAGTTGAAACAATGTTTTTGTTTGAAAAAGATTTTCTAGTTTGTTTGCCTTTCAAACAAGCTTCACAGATTTTGTCTTTCAAGATTTGAAGCTTAGGCAACCCGTAAAACTAATTCTTTTGAAATCAGCTTGTCAAGATGGTTAAGATGTATATGAGCAAGCCTTCTATGCCACAACCAAGATTCTTCTTCTTTAGTAAGAAGACAACTTTGAGATGATATAGACCGCTTGATATCTAACATGTATATGTTGTTTAACCTCTTACCTACCAACATTACCGTGTTAGATTCTCGGCTCACGGATAAGGCACTTTTCTCGGTTTGAAAATGACTTTGTGACCATGATCACATAACCGACTTATGCTTATCAGATTGTGCTTGAGACCTTCAACAAGAAGAACATTGTGAATGATAACTCGATTCACCATCACCAATATCTCCGTAACCTAGAATTCTTCCCTTGTTGTTGTCTCCATAAGTCACATGACCTCCATTCTTCAATTTCAACTTCGGAATTTTGAAATGTCACCCGTCATGTGCCTTGAGCATCCGCTGTCTAGGTACCAAAGGGACTCTTGTTGCTGTTCCCGAAAGATCAAACATCAAGTATTTGGTACCCTTACGTATTTTGGGTCCTTAGGAGTCAAATTTTCTCGTTTAACATGCTTTGGAACCCATCTCTTCCTACCTTGCGCACAAAATATTTTCTAGCATGACAGTAATTTTATAGTATGTCCTTTCTTCATGCAAGTAATGACAAGATGAGAAAGGGGATGTCGTTGTTTTTCCGTATGAAAAGAAGTTCAAATATTTTTTAGTTTTTACCCCATTCTTAGGTTTGTACCCGATTCCGTAATGTTCAAACACACAGCTTTGAGACCCAAGAAGTGCATCTAAATTCTCTTTACCTTGAGTAAATTTTGTCAAGGTTTTAATCAAGTAATCAACCTTATTTTGTAAAACAATACATTTTTCACAATTCTTATTAACAGCAACATTATCCGCAGATGAATAGATAATATCTAGATGTTCTAAATCTGTTTTGCTTTCTAATAGTTCTTTTTCCGTAACTTTAACTCTATTTTCTAACCAGCTTATTTAAACCTTTCAACCGATTATTTGTATGAGATAAATTTCTGGCTTCACTATGCATTTCATTGAAAGCATTTAGTAATGTGCTGTAATTCATTTCATTCTCTCGTAGGAGTTGAACTTACATGTGATGAAGAGGATTCACAACCAACCATCAAACACAGGTTCACCTCTTCACTTTCTGATTCGTGAGTCGGAAGATGAATCATTGTCTTGCCAGGCTATATAGGCCTTTTTCCCTTTGTATCTTGATTCTTTCTTGTTCTGATTCTTGGTCTTTTCCGGCAATCACTCTTTATGTGACCCCGTTTACCACAAGAATAACAAGTAATAGTATTTTGAACAGATTCAGCCTTTTTATCATTGTACCTTTTTACTTGGCCAGCTTCGTTCTTTCTTCTAAGAAATTTCCCAAATTTCTTAACCAACAAAGTCAGTTCTCTCGATTCATCTTCTTCAGATCCACTGTTTTCTTCAATCGTCTTGAGAACAATATTTCTACTTTTCTTTTCTGCATTCTCTTGTTCTTTGAACCGATTGATTTCCAACTCATGTTCCCTTAACTTACCAAAAAGTGAAGCAGTAGTCATTTCAGCCAAGTCTCTTGATTCTCGATATAGCTGTCACCTTTGGTTGCCACGTTCTGTCCAAACACTTTAAGATTTTGATGTTCAACTCTTCTTTGTCAAAAATCTTTCCTAACCCAATTAGATGATTGACTATGTGCATGAACCTTTCTCGCAGATCTCGCAATTGTTTCTCCTTGCTGCATTTTAAACAACTCATAGTCCCTCGATTAACTCATGCTTTCTTGCCCTTTTCACATCAGATGTTCCTTCATGTGTGACCTCTAAAATTTCCCACATCTCTTTGGCAGAGGCACACCGAGACACCTCGAAAAACTCATCAAGATTTAAAGCAGAGGTAATAATATTTTTTGCAAGTATAATCATATTGGACTCTCCTATTTTCTACATCAGCTAATTCAGCCCAATCTTTTTCAACTACTTTACCATCTACCGTATGAGTTGGTTTGTAAGGACCATTAACAATTGTTTCCCAAATGCCTCTATCAAGAGATTCAATAAAGATTTTCATTCTAACCTTCCGAAAAGAATAATTCACACCGTAAAAAAGTGGAGGCCTGTTTATGGAGGCTCCTTCGAAAAAGTCATCTTTCCCTCGACCATTGGACCGATTTCTTGAGTAACTTATAAGAACCAGCTCTGGTACCAATTGAAAGAATTAATGGTTGAGTTCAAGAGGGGGGTGAATTGAACTTTAAAACTTTTTCGCAAAACTTACTTTCTTTTGGAAGAATGAGTTATCTTTATTCAATCTTTGCGAAGGTAATTTGGTTTAAACACAGCAAGTTAATAGACAGTAAAATAAAAGAGATGAAAGAAGAATTTTAACACAAAAATTTATACTTGGTTCACTCTAATCCAGAGCTACATCCAGCTTCTTGACAAACCAGTCAAGTTCCACTAATACCAATTGAAAATTACAACCAAGTAGATACTCACCAATCTACCCCAAGAACTATCTTGCAAACCCACAAGATAGAATCTTGAAAACCACCCAAGTAACCAAATCCAAGTCATCGTACCAAGTGCAGATCACAATCCAACCTGCATAATCACCCTTTTACAAAAGAGTATGGAAAGAAAAAACCTGGACTTGAAGTTCTAATTGTCCAGAACAAATTCTAACAACACTTTCTCTCTTTGATTGACCACAATTCTGATCACAAGCACCTTATGATATGAAAAGATTCTTGAATGCGAGAAAGTCACGTATATGAAAGTTTCACAGATTGATTTCACAAGTTTTCTCAAGTAGTGTGTTGTATATATTTCAAAAGATAGATCAATTCCGTATATATAGAGTAAAACAAAGAATCGAATGTTTCATCCGTCAAAAACTGCTTCGAGAGTCACAAGATCGATTGGTTTGAAAGTATAACAGCTTTAGAAGAGACTCCGATCGATTAGAACCGAAGTATGATCGATCAGACCGAGTTATGATTGATCAGAATGAAACTATGATCGATCAGAATACATTTCAATCGATTGAAACCACGATTCAATCGATTGATTTCATTTAAAAGTTCATTCAATCGATTGTTTCGAGTTTTCAATGGATTGAAACAGACTTTAGAAAAATGACGACTTCTGTTTCAATCGATTGAAATTTATTTCAACAGATTGAAATCCTGCAAACACTTAGTTAATAAAATAGCCTCTCTGTTTTAACAGATTGAAAAATATTTCAACAGATTGATTTTCTGAAAAACTCTTAGACTGAAAAAATAGTCTTTCTGTTTCAACAGATTGAAAAATATTTCAACAGATTGATTTTCTGAAAAACTCTTAGACTGAAAAAATAGTCTTTCTATTTCAACAGATTGAAAAATATTTCAACAGATTGATTTTCTAAAAAACTCTTAGACTAAAAAAATCTTTCTGTTTCAACAGATTTAAAAATCATTTTCAACAGATTGAAAATGCGAAACTTTGATATTGAAAAATTCATTGAGTTATTTTAACTTGTTGATTCCGCAAATCAATCAATTGAAAATACGACTATGTATGACCACTTATTATGTTGAGTGATTTTAACAGATTGAAAATCCTTTTCAACAGATTGAAAAACTTAGTTTGTTCTTTTAATACTTAGATGTTAGTTTTTCATGCAGAAAAATGATTTTCAATGGGATGCAACATTATAAGGCGCTTATCACAAAATATAATGGACTATCAAGAGATTAAGTGCTTAAACTAAAAACCTAATCATCTACACACCCACAACCTAAGCTATATCTATGTATTCATCAAATCCACCAAGTGCTTCACTTTGTTCTTGAATCATCATCAAAATTAACAAGCTTCATGTTCATGTAAGTTCAACATCAAGTCCTTGTATGTTCAACAAAACCAACTTTAGCCATTATAACTAGAGTTGGGTAAGGGAGTTAGTTACGTGTAGGGAAGTATTAACTTCCCTACGACGCCCCTTTCGGGTTCCCTATGATAGGCTAGTTATTTCGTAAATAAACTAAAAATGACGCTCTTACCATTTTATTTGTGGAATTAAAAGATAATAACTACATGACCCTAATTAATGCACAAGTAAATGATAAAGTGATAAAAGAGAGAGAGAGAGTGAAGAAACCTCCAGAGCAAGCTTTGATTAATTCTTTTGAATGTTAGGACGCGTTTTGGTAGTCCCTCGCTATACAATGTTGACTTTTCTCTCTCGAAATTCTATAAAAACTCTATAAGAACTCTCAAAAAACTCCGAAAATGCTTTGGAGGGGCTCTAAAAGAAGAATTCTAAGAAATGCTGGAAGGAAAAGTGGAAGAACTGTGTGAAATGGAGGGGAGAGCGCTCCCCTTTTATAGGGATTCACACTTATCAGGTCGAGACCGCTGTCTTGAATGGCAAGGTCGAGACGGTCGTCTCGTCATTCGGGATGGTGGTCTCGTCATTGAAAAATGGCGAGATGGCCGTCTCGCCAATCGAGACGGTGGTATCAACTTACCAAATGGCGAGAGGGTTGTCTCGCCAATCGGGAAGGTGGTCTCGCCAAACGAGATGGAAGTCTCGACTTTACCATTTGGCGAGACGGCAGTCTCGACCCTTAAGGTGGAAATCCTTATTTTTTGTACAGAAAAGCCTTCCTACTCTAATATGGGGCCTAATAGTCTATCCTAGAGACCTTGTAGGCCATGCCCATCTTCAGATCGGAGGTCTTCTACTCTTTATTTTGAGGTCGGGCAAGATTTGGGGTCTAGATGGATACATCTCGGGAGATACCCATCTGGACCGCAGAATAGAGGGCCTAGTGCAGAGTCAGGAAAAGTTCCAGCGCCGCATGCTTTTCCGCTTCCCTTTACCAGCATTGTCATCCTTATCCAGCCTAGAGGTGGAGGATTAGGATCTTTTTATGTTTTTCTGCCAATTAGGTGTTGTCAAATGTATCCCAACCAAATAAAAAAATGAATAAATAAAAGTTTTACTTATTCCTGGTTACCTTCCTTTCTTTTAATAAGCCCACGTGTATAAAAAAAATTTAAAAAGTAAAAAGGCACACGTGTCACCCTAATAAAAGCCAAATTTCAAATTCGAGAGAAAAAAAAAATAAAATTGAGAGAAAAAGGTGAAATAAACCATTCTAACAAAATAAAGAGCCTCAAGAAATCCAAAACTCCAACATTTCCTCCTTCCATTCAAAAAAGAAGAAGGCACAATAAAGAAAAAGTCAAAGGAAAGGCTCGATCATCCTCAAGCAGATTCATGCCTACTCCGAAGGCAACACCAAAATATTACTTCACGACTCAGCAGCGCCATCACAGGAGTCATCAAGCATACTCATCCAGAGTTTCTGCCACATTTCCCAAAGGAGAATAAGGACTTCAAAAGTTCACCAAAGCAATTACGAAATCAGAACTTCCACATCCCCCTAATTCCAACAAAAAAAGGAAAAGAAGAAAATCCTTCATCCCCTAGCGGATGCCCAAAAAGAAGGAAAGGCCATGACAGAAAAGGCCAAATAAAAATCCCCAAGCGGAATAAGAGTGTCGGCAAAGCCAGCTCATACTACCAGCATCCAACGTTTCCCCCAGGGGGCAAATCAAATTAGATCCCCGAGAAGATAGTAAATCCCCCCAATGGATCACCAAAAAGAAAATTATCCCCAGTGAGTCTATTGCAAAGGCAAACTAAAAATTCATATCCTCAGGGAGTTATTTGCCTATATCGCCCAATATGGATATCCCTAATCGAATGCATAGGCAAAATATAGCTAGCAAAGAGCCAATATCCCTAGAAAGGGACATTAGCCTATCCAGAGGAAAAACAAAAGCATAAAGTCTTCACCACTATTGAAGCATCTGCATAATCAAGAGGCACAATCAATAGTGTAGACCCCTAATTTTGCCCGGCCTCTCAAAATAAAAGCTAGAGGAGCTTCGCCCAAAGATGGAGTTCATCCGGCTCCCCAAAACGAGAAGGACCTCCCACAACAAAAGACGGAGTTCATTCATTCACACAATAAAGACCAAAAGAGACTTCCTACACAAAGACAAAGCTCGCCCGGCATCTTAATGAAGGCCAAGAAGACTTCCTATATGAAGATAAAGCTTCAACGGACACACATCGGCATCAATCTATGTCCGAAAAAGGAAAGGAAAGCTTCCCGGGGTCCCAAAACGCGAAGACTGGACAAAACAGGCCGAGACCACCATCCCAGGGTTGGGACGGCCGTCCCAACTGCAATTAAGCAGTTGGGACGCGCGTCCCGAATGTGGGACGGCCGTCCCAAACCCCAGGGGGTCTCAGCCTTCATTAAATTGCATTTGGGACGGCCGTCCCAACCCGCGACCGGCCGTCCCGCATTGCCACAACGTGAAAACGCGCTTGGGACGGCCGTCCCAACCTGCACGGCCGTCCCAAAGTGCCAGTGCAGCAATAAATGCTATAAATAGGAGCCTCATTTGTCTCATTTCACACACCTCGATACACCGAGCATTTCCTGGACTTGTCTTCTTCTCTCCCTCTCTCGAATGATCTTTCCGATTGCCTTTAATAGGTAACAATCGGTTAAGGAATTTGTGTTCCGGCATTCGATTCTTCTAGAAATTTTAGTCGAGTCGAGTCTCGTAATCGAGAGGAGAGTCGCTGTAGAGCGAAGGACTCGCGAAACGCGTCCTCTTTGTAAAAGACTTATAATATAAAGCTTGCTACTGAGGTTTTTTTTCTCAATTCTCTTCTTCTTTACTCGCTTTATTTACTTCGTATGCAATGTAGGTAAATCGTGTAGATAGCCATATTTATTAAATAAATAAAATAAGGGTAATCGCGTAATTTCTTGTAATCTGGACTTAAATGAATTAATCCGTCATAGGGAACCCGAAAGGGGCGTTGTGGGGTGCTAATACCTTCCCCACACGTAACTAACTCCCTTACCCGACTCTAGTTATAATGGCCAAGTTGGTTTTTAATAAAATCAACGCCTTTTTTCCTTTTCCAATGTTTCTGGTCAAAACATTGGTGGCGACTCCAAAAGAACCCCTTTTCGAAAACCTTGCTCCTATTAGAGGATAGTTCAGTGTTGAACACCTCGGAAGCAATGAACACAATTTTAACAAAAAACGCGAGTCCAACCATCTTTTCGCGACCGCTCGCAGAACGTTCGAGACGTCCCCCGGACGTCGGAACGGACGGCGGCGACAGATGGCGACTCCGCTGGGGAAGTCCGAGAGTTGATCCCATTCAGTGACGGATAAATTCAAACTAAGCAAAGATTTGAAATTACGCCTTTACCCTTCTGTATGTTTTTATTGTATGGCTTTAAATAACTGCTGTATGATTATTTCTGCAATTGTTTGAAATATAAATTGCACACAAAAACCCTTGCACACAACAGTCCCTCTATACCCGAGGGCAAGAGTGAATACCTATAGGGAGTGGGTGGCGGATACGATCGGTTAGTTGGCACACGGGCTACTACCGTTGCTCCGAAAACCACCAACTCAAGGTGATAACTCTCTTCTTTTGGTCTAAGGATGTCGACACGGAGTTCCGTGCATGACCCGAGGATTGAGAGTTGAGAGGTCCCTATAATGGGGGCACCTTGGGGACCTTTGGCCTGGTGAGAACAGCTAGAACCACCCAAACCAAGCACGTTTCTGCAGGAAAATCCCACCTCGTGATTAAATAAGCGTGGCTCTGCTCGTGGATGTACGAATTGTGTGTGCATTTGTTTGCTGCATTTGTATTGATGCATTAGCATAGGGTAATCATACAACAAAAAAATGAAAAAATCCTAAAAATCACAAAAAGCGAAAAGATAAAAGACCTTTATCTCGGACAGTCTTCAGTTAAGCTAGCCTGGTTTCAGGTTCTTTGTAAGCTAAGTAGCCACGTTGACCGACAGAAGAGATAAAGGGTCATAAAAAATATAAAAACAAATTAAAGCCATAAAAATTCCTTTTTATAATAAAAAGATTCTTGGCAAAGTCGTATCCTTCATACCATATCATCCAATAAGTGGTAAAACTAAGAGAGAAAATAATTACAACATGCTCATCATTTTAATAAACCCCAAAAAAATAGGTCTTAGGAGCGTTTTTTGGGAAAATTACTGGGCCAAATTGCCTACGGATTTGCAGCTTGGTTCTTCACCCTTTTCTCTTCGTTTTGACATGCTGTGCGTCCAAATCGGACAACCCAGTCAAAAGTTATGCCACTTTCAATATCGGCTGTCACAAAAAAATATTTTTGTAGTGCATGCATAAACACATTCATTCTAGGATACACCAATCATTTAAAAAACTATAATAAAATTGTTAAAATCATTTAGAAAGTGGCTGGTCTTCCGCCCGTCCTCACTCATGCTCAGAAAGCCAAGAAGATGGAACATCTGGAAGAACAAAACCAAAAGCTCACTACTGAGCTTAATACACTAAAAGATCAAATGGCTCAAATGCTGGAAATGATGCGCCAGCAGAATATCCATAAGGAGGGTCCTCGGAGTGGACAAGCCTCTCACCAAGAAGAAGAAGAGGGACCCAATGATGAGCACAACCAACTCGATACAAGGGCGGTGCATATTCATGCTCCGAAGTATCAAAACAACATCCGACCGCCCTTGAAGAAAGATTGAGAGCCGTGGAAGGGCATAATTTTGATGTTAAAGAAGCGGCTGATATGTGCCTCGTCAAAGATATCCAATTCCCGAGCAAGTTTAAATCTCCAGACTTCCCAAAATACATGGGAATAACTCGCTCCAAAAGCCATCTTACGATGTACTCGTCGTAAGATGGCCGCACATGCCGATAATGAGAAACTCCCGATCCACTCGCTTTCAGGAGAGCTTAGCCGAATCAGCCCGAAACCGGTATATGCAATTAGACAGAGGGCAAGTCCAAACATGGAGACATCTGCGCATGCTTTTCTTCGCCGCTATAAGTATAATATTGATCTCGACCCCCGAAAGATCAAATCTACAACTCGCTAAGCAAGAAAAACGACGAATCCTTCAAAGCATATGCCCAAAGATGGAGGGAATTGGCAAGCACAAATAGAACCTCCTTTGTCCGACAAAGAAACCACGTCCATGTTCATCAATTCTCCGATCGGTCCCTATTATGACAAAATGATAGGGAACACATCAACACTCTTTGCGACGTAGTCATTATAGGAGAAAGAGTAGAACAAGGCCTGAAGAGCTGAAGAATTGTACAACAGTAACTCCTCCAACTCTTCTACTCAATTCATTAAAAGAGCTTCGAAAAAAGAAGGAGGGAACCGTAAATGCAATTAACTTAACCACTCCTTCTTCTTCCTCGCAGCAGCACTGTGCCGCGCAGTGCAAGAGAGGAAATTCACTTCCATACCTACCTCATACGGAAACCTACTGCTAAAATTGCTGGATGCCAAACTCCTAGTGTGCGTCCCTCCCAAGAAGATGGAGCCACCATATCCAGAATGGTATAAGCCAAACGAAAAATGCAATTATCATTCAGGTTCTCCGGGACACTCCACTGAAAACTGTATGCCTTTAAAGCATAAAGTCCAAAATCTGATAGAGGCAGGATGGATTACCTTCGAGGCATCAACTCCAAAGGTGGATGACCAGCCCTTATCAAAGCCCGAATGAAAGACGGGATAAGGAAGACCAGCTATATAGGGCTCATCATTTTTATCATCTCTAAAAATGTAATAAAAAAAAATATCGAAAAACTTCCGATGTATTTCTCGTGATCCCTGCCCATGATCACGAGATTTTTGGTTAATAAGGGCTTTGTAAATATTTTGTTTCTATCAATACAATGAGGCATTTTTCATAATGTTCATATTCTCTTTCATTCTTTTCCCTCTTATACGTCTAATAAAGAAATCTAAAACAAAGCATAACCATAC